ATCAGTACTTCCACTTTTACCAGAGTATTTTTTAACACAAGTATCTGTACTTTTACTCAAGTACGGAAAGTGAGTACTTTTGCCATCTCTGCTGATTGTGATGTTTTTCTCTAAAATACTACATTTAGCGTTTAAATCCATGTAAAAACGGTCTTGGTAACCACCATCTGCAGTCAGGCCAGGGTTTTTTATTTTTTTTATTTTCTATTCCTCATAGCATTAAATCTGCAGCTTTCACATGTGTCAGGATATTGTGAATCGGCTCTAAAGGTTGTTTGACCTCTAGGCTTCGTAGTCTGGTGGACTTGGAAGGACAGCTTCACACTCAACAGTCGGAGGTCCAGAGTCTCCGTGGACTGCAGGAGCAACAGGGTGGAGAAGAGAACCTCCTCCAGGATCTGGAAGCTCAGTGGGAAGAGACTCAGAGAATTTTCTTTGACAGGTGAGGCAAACAGAGGAATCCTAACCTGCTTAATCAAACAGACTCTCTTAGTAATATTGGCGAGCAGTGATCATCTCATTTGAGCCGCCTTCTTTTTTTTTTACTCACTTTCATTGAAATCAGCTCCAAAGTTATTCTACTGTACTTTTACAGGATTTGCCAAGGCGCATTATGTGATGCCCATACCTGGTGTCCAAATTATCTTTGGTAATCTTGGTAACTTGATTCATTACATCCAGAACCAGACGAGAAAGATGACATTCTGGTTAATTCCTTTCTTTAGTTATTGCTTTCCATAAACATATAGTCAGCAGATGGCCGCTCACACTGAGCCTGGTTCTGTTGGAGGTTTCTTCCGGTTCAAAGGGAGTTTTTCCTCTCCACTGTCGCTACAAGCATGCTTAGTGTGAGGGATTGCTGAAGAGTCGATGAGTCGATGCAATCAGCTGGTTTTCCTTAGATATAAAACTTTGAATCAATTTGACTGGATGTTCTGGTGAACTGGAAAGTGCCTTGACACGACATGTGTTGGGAATTGGCGCTATAGAAATAAACTGAATATAATAAAGATAGACCCCTGTATACATGCATATATACCAAAGAAAAAGAAATAACACTAAAACAATCATTTAGTCCCCAGCATTAAACCCTGGGGGTCTGCTGCACCACTGTTTTGTCTCAGTCCATAAACCTGATCTCAGTGGTGAAAGTGTCACGTTTTGGTTGGTTTGAGGACCCAAAATGCAGAAGCAGAGAGACTGAGGAGATTTCTTGCAGTTTAATGATGAAAGCAGTTAACAAAGGCAGGACTCCAAAAATCCAACAAAAAATGTAAAACAAACCAGAACCATGAAGACATCAGGGGAAACCAAACACGAGGAGCCAGGGAGAGACGAGGTAGGAAGACAACAACATGAGAAGCCAGCAACGACAAGGAACCAACAAGGAGTGACTGCAGAGGGAGAGAATATATAGCTGACTGAGATGAAGGCAGGGCTAATGAGCAGATAAGGAGCAGGTGTGAGAGGAGACAACGAGGGAGCCAAGGGAAAAGGAACACACACAAGAGGGCAACAGAGGACAAGAGAAAAACCTGAGAACTAACAAATCTAGAAACTACAACAAAACAGGAATTAAACCAATAAAACTAGGAAACATGAAGCAAAGAAAAGCACAACAGAAGCAAAACCATGACAGTTAGAAAATCCACCCCGTGTTTTCAATACTTCTCTAAGATGCCAGATCATAATAGGTACCTGCCATAGCAATGATAGGAGCACAGAATGCCATGCCATGCATGGAGGCACCTACTATTATTATTATCTCCAAAAACCGACTCTTTATATCTTTGAAAGTTAAGATTTTTTTCTACCATCAACAATAATGTGGCCTGAACCGTAGAGTTACCATGGTGACCCATAGGAAATCCCATAGGAATGAATGGTGAGAGGGGAGAAAGAAGACATAAAAACCCACCAGGTTTGAGCCTTTGCTGTGTGGTCATACATTCACCTACAAACACAGTTTAAAGCTCAGTTTGTAGATACATCTTTCACCTTTCTAAAACTGAAAACGATTTGTTGAAAGCTGCTACGGTTTTTCTAAAATCAGCCTTCAGTTCAACAAAGCTTTTTCAGGCTCCCACAGAACGATTGTTGATTTTCTTTACGC